TTTGGACCAGTCACAGACTTTCAGCCTAACCTACCTCACAGGGTTGTTGTGCAGATCAAAAGGGGGAGAGAAGAATGATGTAAGCTGCTTTGGTCCCCACTGCGGAGAAAGAGGCTGCAGGGAGGGGGGGAAGAGATGGAAAGCTGAAGTCAGAGGGGCTTATTAGCCTTATTTGTAATTTAAAAACCCTTTAAATATGCAATTATTTCTGTGATTTTGTAAACACATCCTTTATTATTTTTTAATAAAAATTAAAAGACAATATATTTTCAAATATTAAAAAGGCGTATATATTTTAAATTTTTCTGAGACCAGCTGATGTAATTTAAAACATTAGGGGGCCTCTTGGTTTTGTATAGCTTAGGGCCTCAGCAAGTCTAAATCCGGCCCTGGCCATATGACAGTACATGACATTTTTAAGACTTTTTTTTTTTTTTAACAAAAAGACCTCTTCACTCTGGGGGAAAACTTCTGATCTTTCTATACGTACAAGAAATCTCTTTCATGTTTCAAATAGAAGTGCTGAAGGCTGCAGATGAATGTCAGGGGCATGGGGAAGTCCTAGTTTTGAAAGCTCGAGTCAGGATACCCGAAGTAGGACTTGGTGTTTGGACTGCTAGCTGCACTGCACCAAAGTCACCTATTGCTTTTTATTCCAGCACTGCTGTCACCTGCATGCCTTTTATGAGGGGCTGCTGTGCTCTTTGGGCAAGCTCCACTGCTTGATCCTTTTGAGAGCTGGTATTGAACTGGCTGTGTCTTTAAAAGACACACTCCCATGCAGAGCATCTCTTCTCATGCAGGCTATCAAGAGGGGCTTTAGCCCAGGCAGTTGTTTTTAGGATAATGGTTTAAAAGTGCAGTTGCCATTCTAATTAAGATGGGGCACAGCCATTTTCTCTAGCACCATATTGAAAATGTTTCTCCTGTGTGTCACAGTGCTGCACCTGGTGGTGGCTGTAGCATGCATGCCCATTACTAGCTGCTTCGCAGGCTGCTTTGTCTTCATCTCTGTCATTCCCTCAGACTTTTGCTTCCTGCCTCAGAATGAAAGACATGAAGCTTGTCTTTGTAAATGCTGATTTGCAGAACAGTTTGATGTATGCACCATTTGTACTGCAGGCTAACTAATTTCCATTGGGTGCTCCAATGCTTACATTGCATTTCTGTCTGATCCTTTGCTACTACTAATCAGTGTCCATATGTATGGAGGTTACTGCAGAGCAACTGTACAGGCATTTGCTTTGCATGTGTCCAGGTGTGAAATATATTTCCTATTTTATTTGGGGGGTTATTGAAGCTCTCAATTTCTGTCACAAGGGACTTGCTTTGAAGATGTGTCTTTAGTCTTGCCCGTTGCAAAGTTTATTGCGCTGGACAATCATCACTCTGTAAATGCTTCCGACAGTTTTTCAGTCTTAAGGGAATAGGTCCTAGGTGTTTTCAGAAGCTCTTAGTGCTGCTGCCTGTTTACAGTCCAATTAGTGCTTTGTCCTCCTTGCATGGCTCATCACCAGGCAGGAAACTCATTCTTTCTCATTAGCTCTGAAACAGTCACAGCCGGACCTCATATCTTCACTGGGAGTGTTGAGATCTTTGCTACCCCCAAAAGGGATTGTCTCACTGTTGACAAGGGAAGATGGGTAAGGAAAGCTAGTCCTGAAGCTTGGCTTTATCCAACAAGGTAGTAAGCAATGGCTAGGGAAAGCTTTTTATACCTTGGCTCTTGCCTGTGTTTAAGGGAGCTTCATTAGCAACCAAAAGCAATTATCAGGGCATGCATCAAAATACACTGTACATGTCCCATACTGTGCTTATGCTTTTGGAAGCTCTTTAATTTGCACACAGTCACAAACAAGTGTGTTCATGAAAACTGGGTGAGAATCACAAAGATAAGAGTCTGGTCTCATAACTAAGCCCATCTGGGAGGAACAGGGGTGGGTGCAGCTATTACAGCTTCTTTTTAAGACACTGAGCCTATACCACTGGGGGGGAAGTGCACAGTCCTGTGTATAAGATCGTAGTCTAACAGAAGTTCCTCTTTCTGAATGATCTGTAAAATAAAGAAGAGTTCCTATATCCATAGCATTTAAAATATTTCATACCTGTTAATAATAGCTGACTGTATGTTAGAACACAGTCAGATTATTAGAGAGGAATGCAAGCCATCCTGCACTCATTCACAAGATGTGACACTATTGCCTTGTGTGCTGTGTCTGAACGAGCTATAGGTTCCCAAGCTTATTTGACCTACCACCAAAAGGCTGCTTTAGATAGGGTCTGGACTCTTCTTTCTTTATGCTTCCACCATCCCCTTATTTGTATTCAACACCCCCCAATTGCACCCAAGGCTCCGACCACCCACCTGGATTGTTCCAGCACCCTCAGGGGGCAGTATTGCCCACTTTGGGAACCAGTGTTAATAACCAGCAGCCCTTTCTCTCAGCACTGCAACTGACCTCTCCAGTGGCCACAGGAAATTTTGCACTGATTTCATTTCTGTGTTGCTTCAGGCATAGTGCAGA